ACAGAAGGCTTTTATAATTGTCAGATTGTGAAATTTTAGTAAATTACTTATATCACCTCACCCTTCACCGCAACCCTTATATCTAAAAAATAAAAATAAATTACATTTTAATAAATTTTTGGTGAATTTGTTGAAATAAATTTTTATTATGAAAAAGTGGAAGGGGAAAAAAGATATAAAAAAGAGAGAGAGAGGAAAAGATATAGATAGAAATATAGAGAGAAAATAGGATAGATAGAGAGATAAATAGATAGAAAGAGGGAGATAGGTAGATAAATAGAAAGAGACATAGATAGATAGAAAGAGAGAGATAGGTAAATAAATAGAAAGAGACATAAATAGATAGAAAGGGAGAGATCGGTAAATAAATAGAAAGAGACATAGATAGAAAGAGGGAGATAGGTAAATAAATAGAAAGAGACATAAATAGATAGAAAGGGAGAGATCGGTAAATAAATAGAAAGAGACATAGATAGAAAGAGGGAGATAGGTAGATAAATAGAAAGAGACATAAATAGATAGAAAGAGGGAGATAGGTAGATAAATAGAAAGAGACATAGATAGAAAGAGGGAGATAGGTAGATAAATAGAAAGAGACATAAATAGATAGAAAGAGGCAGATAGGTAGATAAATAGAAAGAGACATAGATAGATAGAAAGAGAGATAGGTAAATAAATAGAAAGAGACATAAATAGATAGAAAGGGAGAGATCGGTAAATAAATAGAAAGAGACATAGATAGAAAGAGGGAGATAGGTAAATAAATAGAAAGAGACATAAATAGATAGAAAGAGAGAGATACTTAGTGATAAATAGATAAATTGATAGAGACAAGCTATAAATTAAATTTAATGAAGTGTAATAATACATATTAGTTTAATGATAAAAAAAACAAGCAATACCAATTAGCGTTTCCACAACCCCCGCACTATTCATATATTAATTAATTAATATTAATAATAATTATAATTATTATTACATACGTTTTTAATCTGTTTTGTAGTTTTTTGCTATTGAGATAAGAACTTAGAACAACTAGAACTGTCTGTGAACGAACTAAAACTGATTATTACTTTGCGTGGTCGCCCTCGGATACATATATACATATATACATATATCCATACATACATTTATATAAATACATATATACATTTATATATATATATATATATATATATATATATATATACATACATACATACATGTCTAATTTTATATACAAATGTATATACGTATACATGTGTGTATAGTGTAATATAAACTGGTTTGTTTATATATATGCATATGCATATTATACATGTATATAGGTGTTAGGTTTACATGAAACGAAGCATTGAAGATAAATCCTAGGTCCTCTGGTTTACTCTTCTTGAATTTTGATGAAACTTTAAATGGTGATAGAGTTGACGGTCAAAATGAATTGTTTAAAATTTTAAACATCCTATGAGTAGAGGTTTAATTATAAAAATTAATTAAAGTTTTGAAAAATAGTATCAATGTCTCGATAGCTCAGTCAGTTTAAGCGCTTGCTTCTGCTTTTTGTGCTTGGATGAGAGAGTTAAAAATGATAGCGCGATCTGTTTTTTGAAACTTAACCCTTTCCACTCGCGAATTCCGAGATTTAAATGAATTTTACCACCGGTGGCATCCGGGTGAAAAGGGTTAAATTAATTTTTATAATTAAAACATTTCTTCTAGGACTGTGATATTTTAAAATATAAAAACCTATCAGCAACGAAGGCTTTATCCAAATTGTAGAAGAGTGAACTTGAAGTTCTCCTTGTTAGCACTATATTAATTAAGTTGTAAATTCAAATCTTGAATTCTAAATTATTTTATCTTGAGTATTCTTAAAAAGACATTTATTTGAAATTGAAATGATTCATTTTTGTTATCTTAATTCAAGAGGATGTTTTTATCTGTCTTTCTATATTTCTATCTATCTATTATTATATCTGTATATTACTCTTTCTTGTTCTGACTCCATTTATTTTCTTTTCTGTCTCTTTTCTTTGTTTAAATTCTAGTTCTTCATGTAATTTCTCTTTAGCCTTTTCTCTGTCTATTTGACTTTATCATTTTTTTAGAGAGTTATATATTATCATATCATTATCTCTATCATTTTTTCAGAGGTATATATTATTCTTTCCTTTTCTGTATCTATCTCTTTCCTTTTCTGTATCTGTCTCTTTCCTTCTCTGTCTCTATCTCTTTCCTTTTCTATCTCTATCTCTTTTATTTTCTGTCTCTATCTCTTTCCTTTTCTGTATCTATTTCTTTCCTTTTCTGTATCTGTCTCTTTCCTTCTCTGTCTCTATCTCTTTCCTTTTCTGTCTCTATCTCTTTTATTTTCTATCTCTATCTCTTTTATTTTCTGTCTCTATCTCTTTTATTTTCTGTCTCTATCTCTTTTATTTTCTGTCTCTATCTCTTTCCTTCTCTGTCTCTATCTCTTTCCTTTTCTATCTCTATCTCTTTTATTTTCTGTCTCTATCTCTTTCCTTTTCTATGTCTATTTCTTTCCTTTTCTGTATCTGTCTCTTTCCTTCTCTGTCTCTATCTCTTTCCTTTTCTGTCTCTATCTCTTTTATTTTCTATCTCTATCTCTCTCCTTTATTTTCTGTCTCTATCTCTTTTATTTTCTGTCTCTATCTCTTTTATTTTCTGTCTCTATCTCTTTTATTTTCTGTCTCTATCTCTTTCCTTCTGTCTCCTTTCTTTCTTCATTTATCTAGTTCTTTATCTAATTTCTCTTTTGCCTTTTCTCTAACTCTATTTCCCTCTATCATTTTTTCATAGAGACTATTTTCACTGTTTTTTTATTCGATATCGAAAATGCGTGCGTCATCCAGTCTCCATTCATTTTGCATATTCACATAAAGTCGATCTATTTTTAGCTAGAATTCGAATTAACTAACAAAACTATAAATAGTTTAACAGGATGCTGGAACTATAAACACCGAGTACCTACTACTTACTCGGCGGATAATAATTTAGGTATCTGAGTACTGATTTAGCAAAAACTCCAGGAATAGAAAACTATGCTCTAACTAAATACGTGAAAAATTTCATAAAAGGGACTCTACTGACGAGCAAAGTGAATTCCTTTGCTAAATGAAATATGCATATACTATACATACATGAATACAATGTTGATGGATGAATTCTTTTCTCTTTAATTACATTGAGTTACTCATCAACGGCCTTGTAATGCGAGATTTCATTAACTCATTTGTCTGCATAATATATGTATATATATATATATATATATATATATAATATATATATATATACTCGTATATATATCACAGAAGTCCAACTGCCTAATGTTTTTCATCAATATCGATCGATTTATTAAAATAATGCACCGCGATGCGTTAAGGTAATATATTATATATATATATATATATATTATATATATATATATATATATATATGTTACGGTGGTCCTTAATATGGATGTTTTCGAATTTCCTTGCTCCCAAGGGCTCAAATGCTTCCCAATTGATGAAAAACAATTCTTTAAAAGTTTTTAAAATATCCATATTAAGGACCACCCTAATATATATATCACAGATGTCCAACTACTTACTAATTTTTTGTGAATCATTTAAATATCAATCGATTTACTAAAATATAACACCGCGATGCAATAAGGCAATTTTGCGCACATTTAGATATAAAACGTCTCATTATTATTCATTAACAATGTACAAAAAATGACTCAGGTTTTGTCTTCTATATTCTCTTTTTATTTTCCATAAAATATTTTTGTAATTTTGGATTAAAAATTCAAACTAGTTGGGTGTATGGCATCGTGCTTTAAGGCAAATTGCTGGAACTTCCCGTACCATAACGAAATGTTCGAGGAATACTGAATGTTTTCAAATAGATTATTATTAATATTGTAACATTGTCTAATATTTATAAGAATTATATAAACTGAATTGCAGAGTTGAAATTATTTGTTTAAAGTATATTAGAACTATAGTCAGAATTAAAAATAAAATCTGAATTATTTTCGATATACAAAAAAAAATTTAAAAAAAAAAAAAAAAAGTTGAATTTTTTTTTCCAAAATCAATTATTTTGTTAAGACAAATAGAACGTTCTTTTGAATCATTGCAATCGACGCTTAGTTTTGTGGTTATTAGTTTTTGGCAAAGGCAGGTCCCGCCATTTCGAAGATACAGAGCTAAATGTGCAAAAAATGGCTAGGCATTCACTTTCTGCTTGTATTGACAAAACAATTGCTTTCGAGGATAAAAAATTCTAACATCTTTTTTTATTTTTCATGAAATATTTTTGTAATTTTGGACATTCTAAGCGCCACCCTGAACAAATGTTAACCCAAGTGCGTTTAGACTGCTTATGTACTGGGACACTTTTCCAAACAATTTTGTGAAAACTATTAAAAAATGTGAAAATGCCGCCAAGCTGAGCACAGTATAAGTGAAAATGTCGCACAGAACTATTTGCAAATGCGTTTAGACTGTGACTATGCGGGAGCACTTTTTCAATTTGGTGTAAATTAGGCAACTATTTTTTTTTGAAATTGAATTCAAAATGAAATGACGATTGTTTATGTTCTGGAGATAAATTGATTGATTTATGACTTACATTTATGATTTGATCAGATATAACAAGATAGCAAAAATAATGAAAGTTACAGAGTATTTGTAATAATATATTTGAAAACGTTTAATATGTCTCGAATATTTAATTACGGTACGGGAAGTTTTAGCAATTTGCCTTAAGGCACGATGCCATACACCACTAGTTTTTTTCATTAATGTATTTATCAAAAACGTGCATTCTTTTACACAATCTTAGATTTTGATTAGAGATCTTTCCAATTTTCAAATTGTTTCTTAACTATCAATTTACTCCTTTGTAAGTTGTAAGCCCCATATTGCTAAACATTGCATTAGGGACCAATTTAGCCCTATTGGGTACATTTTTATTACAATTTTTTTTACTTATTTATTTCCTTTCCCCAGCGGAGCCCCAAGAAACCTCAACAAACTCCACCGCCAGTTCCAGAGTAGTCGTCCTCTCTTATTCGAGATACTGCCGGCACCGAGCCTTAGCAAAACGCCTAGAACCTTCGAAAAAATCCCAATCCGATGTCAAACTCGAAAAAGTTTGCACGAAAATGGAGAACATCAAAATCGAAACGTCGTCGTCGGATAGCACAAATCTACAAAGCACTGCCAAACAAATCACTAATAGTCAATTAAAATTAAAACAAGAAGGTTCCGATGAGGATGGTGATGATAAAAGTAAAATTGTTAAGACGGAAAGTGAGGATGATAAAAGTGTCGAGGATGTTAATAAGGCGTTGGCGGAAAGTTTGCTGATGAGCCCGGAGATGCAGGATGCTCTGATACAGGCACTGGGAGGATACGTTGCTGATGACAGGAATACGAAGATACTATTTTGCAGGGTAAGTAGAACAACCAGTTTTATATTATATATATTTACTAGCAAACCCGACGAACTCCGTTTCGCCACCAGATGGTTTCGTGAGAAAGATGAAGAAATTTTTTGTTTGTTTTACATTTGAAAAGGAAAAATTTGATTTGATTGCACAATTTTGATTACAAAAATAAAGTGTTTTTTAGTTGAACTTCTCTAAGTAAATGAAAGTGAATCCGCAGAATATCCGTTTCATTGAAGTGCTCTTTGGTAAACCACATTTTTTGTTTTTCGGTCTGACGTTGTTAACACAAACAAAGCGGATGGTTTTCCAACTCGTATAACTGCCCATGTGAAAAACAATGATTTTCTAAATAATCTATTTGAAATTTATACCGCAAACTTTAAGCGATTGGCCTTGAGACTTGTTATTGCGAACGCAAGGCGAACTGGAAATTGCAATCGTTTGAAGTCAAACGGAAGACCAGTCGGAATCATTGGTATGCCACCAAATCGCCAACAATTTTTGATTGTACGGCGAAATTCAGTGCGTGTACATCATTATTCTTTGCGGCAAGAATTGCTCGTTGACTTAACAAAGCATAATTCTGATAATTCTCACTAATGTCATTACTCGAATTTTTAATTACGGTGCGTGAAGTTCCAGCAGCTTGCATTAAGGCACGATGCCATGCACAATTAATTTTCTTAGCTATAAACCTTGCGGAGCCCGAGACCTTTTCAACGAATGCAAAATTGTCGAAATCGGTTCGTGCGTTCTGGAGTTATATCGTCAGGAAGGAAAACCCGACTTATTTTTATATAATAGATATATTTATATATACTAGCTGACCCGGCGAACGTTGTTTTGCTAAGTAAGGCATATTCTAAACAATTTCTAGAGAATCAAAAATATTAATGCTTTATGTGTATAAGGATGTGTTGTTTGAATGCTATATACAAGGAGGTATTATAAAAACAATAAATCCCATTAGTTTGTCTATAACTTATTTTTTTAAGTTTTATATTACTGAGCTTTTACAAAATTTTCAAATTTCTGCGAGGAGAGATAGAAAATGAATTAAGTATTTATTCTTTGTCTTGCTTTTTTAAAAGTTTCAAGTAACATTCGATGAGTTAAAGTAAATTTAATAAAAAATATATGTAAAGCAGAGCGAGGCACAAAGGTCCAATTTGACTTTGAGCAAATATAAATTATATTGTGAAAAACATAACAATTATATCACAACAAATAACACATTTCAAACCCTACTGACGAGCAAACTTTGATATTTTTTGGAAATAAGAAAGACTGACGAGCAAAATCTGATATTTAAAAAAGAACTTTACTGACAAGCAATTTCTGTCATTTTCCAAAACAAAAAAAATTCTGCTGACAAGCAATTTTTGACATTTTTAAACACAAAAAGAACTCCATTGAAGAGCAAAATCTTATATTTTTTAAACATAAAGAACTGTACTGACGAGCAAATACTAATATTTTTTCATTGAAAAAAGGAACTCTACTGACGAGCATATTCTAAAATTTTAGGGGGAAAAAAACTCTATATTGATGAGCAAATTCTATCATATTTTTTTCAAAAAAAAATATAAATTTCGGACTAGCAAATTCCGACATTTTTATAAACAATTCAACTTTATTGACCAGCAAATTTGAACATTTTTAGAAAAAGAAGAAACTCTTCTGACAAGCTGTAAGTGGCATTTTATAAATAGTGCATTTAAGCTATATTTGTCTACACGCACATTTATAGCTTTTTTGTTAGAAATATATGTGATTTTATATTTTTATAATTTAGTACACATATTAAGAAGTAACATACTAAAATTTTGTAACTCCAATATAACTTTTCATATTTTTAAATATTTTTTAAAATACTCATCAAACCGTGGACTTGCAACTATTGGAAACTAGATATGCAAGAGTGCATTTGTTTGCAAAATTGCACTTTTATAGCTTTTTTTGTTAGAAACATATGTGATTATATATATTTATAATTGAGTACATATATTAGGTAATAACATACTAAAATTTTATAGCTCTAGTATAATATTGTATATTTTAAAACCTTTTTCAAAAGTACTTCTCATATCATATCCAACCGTCGATTCGCAACTAATAAAAATAGAGTATGCACGTGTGCATTGCAATTTTTTAGTTTCTTCTGTTGGAAACATATTTGATTTTATATTTTTATAATTCAGTACACATATTAAGAAATAATATACTATAATTTCATAACTGTATTACAACGTTTTATATTTTTAAAATATATTTCAATTTGTTTTCGTCAAAACGTTTTTGTATATAAATATAACTACAAACAAAACTACATACTACAATTTAATCATAATTAAATAATATTCACGTAAAACATCCTATTAAACGTAATGGAACATCATCTGTCTAAAACATTTGACATTTGACGTATTAGCCACCGTCCATTGTTTCATTCAAATTACGCTTCTACAAAAATTTTCAAATTAAAAATGTAACGTTTCTACGCGGTTTTGAAATAATATCTCACCTTTTGGACTTTCTCTGGATTAGCACGAATTTTCCAAGACTAAGACTGGCCAAATCGGTTTAGCCGTAGGATCATTTTATCGAGAGCTCCATTTTTATATATAAGAAGATAAAATATTTATATAAGTTGGTACTAATGACTAGGCCGACGGTTGTAGTGTAGCAAAACGAGAGAACATAATATATAGGGTAGAGAGCATAATACGTGTAATATAGAACTTAGTGTAATTCGAGTAAATAAATAATCAAAAAAACATTTGGTTTTAATAGACACGATTAGAGTTAACATATATTTTTTTGTTTTTTTAGGAAACTTTCTCCTACCCAGATTTGGAAACCCACGAAATGCTCTGCAACCACCTAGCACCAAAATTAAAGGGTCGTCCACGTGGCAGACGCAAAAAACAAATCCTTCCAGTTTATAATTCGACGAAAAAAAGACAATTGTTGTCCGTTAACAGTGACAAGAACAAGGGCCGAAAGGGCCATCAAGACGATGACGACGAGAGGAGGATGTTACAAATGTTGGCAGGGCTCTCGGACAGTGGCGGCGAAATGAGTGGCCCTGATGGTGCAGGGGATAGTGATGATATGGGGTCTGAGCATATGCCTTGTGCAGCCACTGTGGTAAGATAAATGACTGATGAAATTCATTTTTTATGTTAAAATAATTTGTGTTGATAAAAATGTATTTTGTAGGCTCGTATGAGTACAGGGGGCGGCAGACGGGGTCTTCGGTGTAATAGTCGTAAACCTGTCAAGAATAATGCAGTGATAACGCCTACAGGTAATTACTTCATATATATATATATATATATATATATATATATATATATATATATATATATACTAGATCAACCGACAGACGTTGTTCTGTACCCACCTCTACGTTTTTTTAATATCCTATACTAATAATTACCGTTCAGTTAAAAATAACAATTATTCTTTTTCAAATTACTATTTACACCAATATATGAGTGATGTTAAATGTAGAACTGCTTCAAACAAAATGATGATTCTCAATTCCCACAGTTAACACTTTAATTATCTATTTAACAAATATGTTCAATAAAATTGTATATTAAAAATTATACACTGCGATTTAAAGAACAAATTTATTTCCATTACCTCAATTTATTTTAATGTCAAGAGTTATCCAATATTTTTAGTCATACCTGTGTAGATGTAGGTGTATAAATAAATGTGTTTTTGTTTATTCACGACTAAAACTTTGATTGATTTTCCAAATTTATCACACAAAAATTTAATCGTCTGTGGTTTGTAGCATAAGATATACGTGTTGGAAATTGAACTATTTTAAACAGTATAACAAATTCAGAATGAATTAATATATAGTATCTGCTATAAGGGTACAATGTCACCTTCGATTTTTCTACCTAAAATAATTGCTTCAATAATGCTGCCTATAATTTTTATAATTTCGTACTGTATATTAATTGTTTTCAGTAATATTATCTAAATTATATTTTTCTTAATAATAATTCGATATACATTATTACTTGATAAATGAATTAATTTATCAAATCCTGTTCACATGTGCTCTATTCAACTTACGATCAATGAAATTAGTGCAGTAAATGGAGACGAAAAAGAGTTTAACCTGTGGACTTTTTTACTGTGCTCCAATTTGCATGATATTTTGAAATCTCTTGAACCAAAATGAAATAGATTAATTTTAATTTTGGTGGAAATGGATTAATTTTAATTTTGGTGGAAATGGCACTCATAAAACTATTTTATTTGAATGAAAACAAAACATACCTTTAACGGTACTCATTTTGAAGCTTATTTTGAGCACTATAAAACCCCATAGAATATATAAAATATTACACTTCACTGCTAGACGACTTCAAATACAACAATTAAATCTCTAACGACTTTGCTTTTTCATATCTATATTAATATTGTTCCTAGGACACGTTATAAAACACCGATTTATTAGGATTTTAATTGATATAATTTTGTTCTTGACATGATTTTCGTTAAGATGTATATTTTTGGAAATATTTGCCAAAAACGATGAAAAACGCCAAAAAGAAGTGAATTTTCTGTAGCCAGTAATTCGAAACGTATTTGCTTTTTTGAAAAACATTATGAAACATTTTTTCTTATAATTAGTTCTTTTATCGATGTCCGACGTTATTTTGAAAAAAGTAAAATTACACCACTGAAAAGAAATGTCATCCCCCCGGGAAGTGGCAAAGAAGTCTAAATTATTTTCACTTTTAAACTTAAGAGTAAGATGAACCTAATTCCAAAATTCATGCAAATTGGAGCACAGTAAAAAAAAATCAGATCCAAAACACTCCATTGACTTGAGTAAATATTCCGTATCCAATGGCAAAAATATGAAAATATGAAACTTCTAAATATTTTTTGAATAAGTAAATTTGTTTTTGTATTGTTATTTAGTAAAGTAAGGCAAAACACGACTGCATTAGTTAAAAAATAATCTGTCAAATTGAATTATAGGCTAAGTTTGATGTGCAATCACTGACAGACGCATGTTGACTGTAAATCTTATATTATTTTAATTTTTGGCACATCCCAGCTGCTTTTCGGCAATAATAATGTAGACATTACATTTTTCTTATTCATAATCATAAATATATTATATTTTAATATTGTCTTAGCCTATAAGTGAATAGAAATGTTTGGCAAATGACAGTCTTCATTTGTTTTTAATGTCAAACTATGCCTTAAATATTTTCAAGGTCAAACAATGATAAGCGGTTTTTTGTAATTTTTTCCATTCATTTCTACAATCTAACTATATTTCTATGAATCGAAAAAATCCTAGAAAATTTCCCGAACTAACTTCAGGAAGATTTATCGAAATCCGAATAATCGTTTAGGAGGAGTATATTTACATACACCATTACAGAATATTTATTATTATTTATAATAAATCATAAGAATAACATAAGGATAATATATTATTTTATATCTTATATAAATATTAGAATAATCTTATAATAAATATTCTGTGTTAATAATAATAAATATTCTGTAATGGTGTATGTAAATATACTCCTCCCAAACGATTATTCGGATTTCGATAAATCTTTCTGAAGTTTGTTAAGGGAATTTTCTAGGATTGAAATTTATAAGATATATAATTTCTATCCTTTATCCCCAGGTTCTCGGAAACGTAAACAAAGTGATAACAGCTACATCGACAACCTCAACAATACAGACGATGAGGACTCGAACAGTTCCGAATTGAGTCCCGAGTTGGAGCAAAAGGCAAGAGAGAACTTTGAACAAAGACTGAGAGACTTCAATCGAGATGCCATGATGGACGGATACAGCAACGAGAAACACATTAATTCCAGTGGCGGTCTTCAGGGGTCACCAACAATACCACGGGTACTAAGATGACTGCACTTATGGGGGATGGAAAGAAACGTGAGTGGAAAAATAAACTAGTGGTGTATGGCTATATATGTAGAAACTTTTATTGGAGGTCTTTAGATCGATCCTTGTGCTACGCCCAGACCCATAATTTGACATAAAAGCTTTACAACAACTCGGTATACTTGAGAGTTATATTTGTTGGTAAATAATTATTGTTATAAATAGATTCAAACTTAAAATAGATTTTTAAGAAAAAAAATTAATGAAACAGATTTGAACCAATTTGAAAATAATACATAATTTAAACTTACGTCAGTAGATTTTTTTTCTATAAATCGAAATATAGTTTGATCACCAGTAAAGTCTTTTTGGAATTGAAATTTAGTTTGCTCGTCAGTAGAGTCCTAAGAGTAAGAGCTGAAGAAGCTCTTTTGTATGATAAAGAAAAGAATATATAGATAAAGAAAATTGCCTATTGGCAAGTTGTTTTGTTTTGAAACATTAGAGATAGTTAAGTCTCTTGATTTGTCCGAAAGTGTTCATTAAAAGTAAAGTAGTTATGAAATTTGTATTATAGCTAGTGGGGCGCATGGCATAGTGCCTTAAGGCAAATTGCTGGAACTTCCCGTACCGTAATGAATTATATTCGAGAAATTTTAAACGTTTTCAAATAGATTATTACAAATACTGTAATTGTTTCATTATTTTTGCTATCTTAATTGTTATATCTGAGCAAATCAAATGTAAATATCAATTTATTTGCATAAAATTGAAAAAGTTCTCCCATATAGTCACAGTCTAAACGCATTTGCAAATGATTCTGTGCGACATTTTCACTTATACTGTGCTTAGCGTGGCGGCATTTATAAGAACTAAAATGATTGTTGTTAAATTGAGGAGGCTACATTTTAATATCGAACCAGTTCGATTTTTATTCATTTGTTTATAAGTTCTAAACGAAATGTCCGATTGTTTTGTAATATTTAGCAAATTTATAGCCAATTAAATTTTCTACAACTTTTATTAATAACAAAATTTTGTATCTCTTATCCTTTTACCCAAAATTTGCGATGAAACAGGTTGTTGTTAAATTTTGGAGGTTGCATCAGTATATCTTGCTTCGTACTTTTGAACCGGCTCGATTTGTATTTATTTCTTTATAACTTCTAAACGAAATGCCCCACCATTTTGCAATATTCAGCAAATTTATAGCCAATTAAATTATCTACAACTTTTATTAACAACAGAAATTGGTATCGTTTGTCCTTTTATCAAAAATTGACAATGAAACAGGTAGTTGCTAAAGTTTGGAGGTTACAACATAGCACACATATATCTTACTCTGTCACTGTCACACTGTCAGGTATATGTTGCTCTTTTTCGCACTAGTGTTTTATATATTTCTTTCTCTCATTTTCTCACTATATACTGTTGTCTCTTTTGCGCACCAAAACGGATTCTACATCACATCGCGACTTAAGAAGTTTTACTTCAAAAATAAAATTCTATTTTACTAATTTATACATCGCCAACCTAAGAAGTTCTACTTCAAAATTCAAATGTAAATCATAAATCAATCAATTTATCTCTAGAACATTAACAATCGTCATTGTCAGTTGCCTAATTTGCTTAGACTGTGCTTAGCCTGGGTAATTTTTTGAATTTTTAATCCAAAATTACAAAAATGTTTGTTGAGCAGGTAAAAAAGAGACTTTACTGACGAGCTAGAAAATAAAGAAAGGACACCATTAACGAGCAAATTCAGACAGTTTTATTACAAAAGAAACTCTACTGATGAGCAAATTTATATATTTTTTTTAAAAAAAAAGAACTTTACTGACGAACAAATCTAGACCCTTTTGTAAAAAAGAAAAGATTTCTATGACCGCGAAAATTTATAAAAATAGAGTAAAAATATTATTTCTATTATTATTTTTATTATTATAAAACATTTTTCAATAGTTTTCACAATTTTTTTAATCTGACTCTACTGACGAATGAATCTAAGGAAGTTTTACTTCAAAAATTTTAGATAGTATTTTTATGACATGTGAGGTTTCGTTTGAAAGATCTTCTCGAATAGAAACTGAATACTGATATTAACCATGTGATTAGTCCACAAAATATTCACTTTTTACGAATTTGTAGCTGAGCAGTCTGAAGAAGTTTTACTTCAATAATTTTATATTGTGTTTTTATGGCATATGGGGTATCGTTTGAAAGGTCTTTTTGAATAGATTCCGAATATTAACTAGCTGTAAGTGGAATTCTGTCTTAAGGCAATTAAGGCATCGTGCCTTAAGGCAAATTGCTGGAACTTCCCGTGCCAAAAATTATTATTTTTTTTAAAAACGATTAACATTTTGCAAAAAATTTTACTTCGAAAAAATAAGATTTTTTAGAAATTTTAAATTGGACAAAAAATAACTTTTTTTTTGAAAAAAAATTTTTTTTTTAAAAAAATTTTAAACAATTTTTTTTATAAAAAATTTTTTTGGAAAAAATGTTATCTTCATTTTGATATATTTTGGAAGATCTGAACTTTTTTTCAAAGCAATCGTACTGCTTTAACAGCATAGAGACAAAATATAAAGCGCGTAAGCGCCGCGTCGCTGTCTAACGGAAAAACATTGGTACGGAACCCATAGGAATGTAAACAAAACTCATACTTATTGTTAAAATCTCAATAAAATATCTGATAATTTGATATGCATATGTCTAATGTCTAATGATTATTGTTGACCGCCAAATGTTATTTTTTTTTAGTTTTTTTTACTAGATCTCCGAAATTTACACAAAATTGAAAAAGTGCTCCCGCATAGTCACAGTCTAAACGCATTTGCAAATAATTCTGTGCGACATTTTCACTTATACTGTGCTCAGCTTGGCGGCATTTTCACATTTTTCAATAATTTTCACAAAATTGGAAAAGTGCTCCAGTACACAAACAGTCTAAACGCACTGGGGTAAACATTTGTACCAGAGTGGCGCTAGACTGTGCTTAGCTTGGGTGATTTTTTGAATTTTTAATCCAAAATTACAAAAAAAAATTTTGAAAAAAAAATTGGAAACAAAAAAATTTTTTTTTCCAAAATTAATTATTTTGTTGAAAAAAGCAAGAAAGAAAGTTCTGAATCATTTAAATCGGACGCTTAGTTCTCTCAAAAACAGCCATTTTTTTAAATTTAGCTCTGTATCTCCGAAACCTCTGGGCCTACCTTTGCCAAAAACGAATCAGCACATCTCCCTATCAATAGGAATCGATAGTTTTTTAAACCATTCAAATCGGTTGATCCGTTCTCTCAAAAACTCGCTTTCTATTTTTTGCACTCTTTGCTCCATATCTCCGTAACGGCTGGACCTGCCTTTGCCAAAAACTAATCAGCACATCTCCCTATCAATAGGAATCGAATGTTTTTTAAACCATTCAAATCGGTTGATCCGTGCGCCCGAAAACGTGGACGAAAAAACGCGGACATGCAAAAACACACACACACACACCACACACACACACACACACATCCATTTTTTCTGAGGTATGCCAAAATGTTCAGAAACCTTCAAAACGTCGAGAAATGTAAAAATTTTTGATTCCGATTTTTGGACGATTACTATAACTTACCCTACGGGAAGTTAAAAATAACTGTATGGTTTGTTCATAAAATATCCACTTGTAATGAATTTGTAGCTGAGGAGTCTAAAGAAGTTTTACTTCAAAAATTTTACATTGTATTTTATATGACATGTTGGGTATCGTTTAAAAGGTCTCGAGGTGTATAATACGATTTATTATATTTTAAGTATCTAATTTAAATTTGCGCGTCAGTAGAGTCCCTTTTTTATTTTTTCAGAACTAAATTTAAATTTGTTTTGTGTCAACACGAACTGGTTGCAAGTTGCAACTTCCAAATATGTGTAAATAATCGACAGAAATAAACAGAAAATTCGAAA